GAGAGGGGCATGGACCTTTAACATCCTCATTCGTAAAATTCCACATCCCAAGTACAATTAAGAAGAGACTCAGCTTCTTTTTAATTAGTTTTCCTAGTATCTTAGCTGTCTAATTTTTATAATAACTATAAAGCCTAGTCTAAATTTTAAGGCATAATGTTAATATTTAAACTACTTCAAGTCATCTTGGGGAGGAAAATAGCTTCTGAAATCTGATCTCATGATATTGAGAACATTTTAGGTTGTACTGGAGATATTTCATAAAATGGGATTGAAGCAAAGCACCTCATTTATAAGGGCATGCATTGCATTTGCCAAGTACCACTAATAAGTCTTTTAAAAGCAATCGCGGCTCCTGAGGTTTGTGTTAGCTCTTTCCTGCAGCATTCCAGGAAAGCTCATTGAATTTCAGTCCCCGTTTGCCCAGATAAACAAAATAAACTTCAATACCTGCATTCTTTGTCATACTTCCAATCTTCCTGGGGACACAGACACATTCGACAGTTACATCAGTTTAAATTGTTTATTGATTCCAATAGATTATATAGACACTTTGGAAGTATTGTTCAGTGACCCAGAAAAAGCCAGATTAATCAGAGAATGGCTTATAATTCATTTTAAAGATGCCAGCCATGTTGAAGTACAATCAATGGGACAAAACCATTTTTCCTTCCCTGGTAATACAACTGAAGACATTAATTTTTTTGTTTACTGAGGAAGATAGGGAAAAAAATTAAATTCTGATCTAAAACACAGGCAGTTCCACTGTAGGATGTGTGTGTGTGTGTGTGTGTGTGTGTGTGTGTGTGTGTGTGTGTGTGTGTTCATATAAAGAGTCTGCCATATGGTAGATGAATTAAATTCTGACATCTCTTTCTGGATATCACAGACTTTTAGAAATCTGGACAGAAGGCAATGTCTCTGTCTTTACATCACTCAAGAATGCAGAAAGCACTTACTAAGCACCTACTATGTGCCAGGAATTTTGCAAAATGTTGGGGATACGGAGACAAAAACATGAACAGGGCCCTGCCCTGAAGCATCATTAAAGTAGCCCCATCCCAGCTGTCACGTAGGCACTAAGTGTAAGCTTCTCCATCTTAGAACCACTGGCTTTATTCGAAGTGAGGAATTACCTCTCAGCTCACACTCCCACATCTTCTTCTCCAAGATGCTCCGACATTTCCCAGCGACCAGCACCCCCACTGAAAGGCCAGCCCAGAGGACAGGGATTGAGGGCACAGAGCAAATCGACCAAGAAGCATTAATTACTTCCCATGTGCCAGTTTTGGGATACAGACACAGAAATCAAACTGTCTTTTCCTCAAGGAGCTTACCTTGTACTGGGGGAGACAACACGTACAAACACACATGTATATATGTAACAAGTACCTCTGTGTTTATATGCAGGATGATTTTTTTTGCAGGGAAGGTACTAGCATGTGGGGGGGGGTGAGCTTTTACACAAATGTATAAAGTGGCCCTCGAGCCAAATCTTAAAGGAAACACGAGTCTGAGAGTGGAGGGGTTGAGGGAGGGCATACCAGGAATGAGGGACAGCCAGTGGGTAAACGCCTGGAGATGAGAGATGAAACATCATGTGGGGAGCAATAAAGAGGCCAGTGTGGCTCTAGTGGACAATGAGGGAAGGGAGGCTAGAAAGGCAGGCTGGGCCCAGGTGGGAAGCACTCTGAATGACTGAAAAAGGCCTCCCTATTTGTTCTAGAATGTACTGCTGAGAAGGGGAGTGACATTAGGGAGATTATCACCTTGGCAGCTGGGTAGAAGGTGGATAGGCTTTCCCAAGTGAGGCTCCAAGCCAGGTCCAAACTACAGCCCAGGCCCCGGATCTCTGAAGTCCTAGGGGAAGGTCAGCCCCTCTGCAGCCCCTGGCCCCGCCCACTCCCTTTGCCCAAGTGGGCTTCCAGAGGACTTCCTCTCCTGTGAGAGGGTGCCATTGACTCCAATTGGCTCAGGCTCCCAGAGGGCATGTGACCCGCCCAAGATGGCCTGGCCAGTCGGGAGGCCATCTGGTCCAGCTCTCCTGCCTTCTTAGAGACCCAGTGCTGTACCCACTCCAACCACCTGGGTCTAAGTAGGAGCCCCCACCACCCATTTTACAGATAAGGACACTGACCAGAGGGTAAAGGGACTTGCCCAAGGTCACTGAACCAGTGAAAGGCAGAGGTGTCACTTGAGGCTAGATCTTCTGACTCCAAGTTGAGACTCAAGTTATAGTTCAGAAAACTCCCCAACAACCCCCCAAACTTGCCTTTCTTCTAGCACTTTTTTTTCTAAAATCAGAGATTCTTTTTTTTTTTTTGGTGAGGCAATCGGGGTTCAGTGGCTTGCCGAGGGTCACACAGCTAGTGAGTGTTAAGTGTCTGAGGCCACATTTGAACTCAGGTCCTCCTGACTCCAGGGCTAGAGCTCTATCCACTGTGCCAACTAGCTGCCCCCTAAAATCAGAGATTCTTAATAGAGGTCTCCGAAGTTGGTCTGGATAAGAGTCATTTTCCTCCCCTCAGTTTCCTCTGAGCAGGGGTCTTCCCCAGGCCTGCCAGTCACCCCAAGTGGGTGGGGGCAGGGAAGGCAGTCCAGAAGCCCCTCCTCCGGGGGTTGCCCCGTGTGTGCCCACCTCAGAACACAGATGCTCCAACCAGGCACGTGTCCAAAGGGCAGGAGACACGGGCACCACTCATGACCCTCTCCTTGGGGATGGCTTCCTTCCCTCTCCTGGGAGCCCTTTCTGAGAAAGCGAGGCACTGCCTCCAGACCTGGGGACAGTGCCCTTTTCCTAGGGTCCTGATGGGGCTATATTTCTGCTTCCCTTTCAGTTGTTAGACTCAGGCACTCACGTCCAACAGCTTTGGTACAAGACACAAACTTGCTGGCCAGCATTTATCTCCTCCATCCAACATGGGATGGAAGGACTTGAGGCCCTCAGCAGACGGTGAGCTGCTTTTGAGCAGGGCCCACCCTTCTTGGCCTCTCCAGCACTTAGCACAATGCCCGGCCCAAAGAAGGCATTCAATAAATGTTTACTGATTGACTCAGTGCCAGTGTCTGCTAAGATGCACTTTCTTCCAACCACAGGAAAGCTCACTCTATCATAGAAATACAAATCGAAACAATTTTAAAATCTCACTTGAAATCCAGCAAATTGCCAGATGACAAAAGATGGAAACATTGCCTACTGGATGAGCTCTGGGTCTTAAGCTTCTCATCTATTAAATGGGGACCCTGGGCTAGATGATTCTGAGCTTCTTTCAAGCACAGAGTCCACAGAATGCTCATTCTCTAGTCTCCGGCCTCCAGGCGTGTTCTGTGACTATGCCTCCTGCCTGGCATGCGCTCCCTCCTCACCTCTGCCTCCCGGCCTCCCTGGCTTCCTTCAAGTCCCAGTTAACATCCTATCTTCCACAGGAAGACTTTCCTGATTTTCCTTAATGCTAATGTCTTCTCCTGTTGGCCATCTCCTGTCTATCCTCTAGATACCTCGTTCATTCCAGTTATTCGCATGTTGCCTCCTCCACTAGACCATGAGCCCTGAGAGCAGGGCCCACGTTTTTGCTTCTCTTTGTATCCTCAGTGCTTAGCGCGGGTGGCCAGCACATAGTAGGTGCTTAGTAAACGCTCACTGCGTGACCGATTAGTTTAAGATCGAGTCCAGGTTGAGCACATAGTGTTCCCTGTCTAGGGCCTCCTTCAACACTAGCATTCCATGAGTTTAGGGCTAATCGGGACGCAGGCACAAAAACCACAAAAAGGGTCTGGACAGCTTGTGTCAAATGCAAACTTCAGCCATCACCCAGATGTGAAGGACTACCCACCTTTGAGGAGAAAACACCCCGAAGGAGAGTGGGCCTCTTGAGGAGTTAGGTCACCTGACCTGGCAAGCTTCCACGACTGAGCAGGACAGCCCTTACCCACAATACAGAGGGGTCCCACACGCAGTAAGGAGGGCAAAATACAAACTCTGCCATCACTGAAGGCAGCTCCAATGAGCACAATCTCCGTGGTCCTTGAGCAAGCTAAGAACTGGGATAAACCCCACCCCAGGCCCCCAACATTCACATGGCTGTTCCCTTACAGAGCTCAAAGCTCTGGGGCCACACGACTACTGGACAGACACAGGGCCCATCTGGGAGAGGCCTGCCTGTCAGAGAATCAGCAGATGAAACGGGCAGGGAGCCCCTTCCCTTCCCTACATGGGGATATCTGATGTTCAGAGGCTGAACGAGCCACACAATAAGCAAAGCTGAATGCAGAGAACAGCAGAGGGGGCTCATCCCACCCCCACCCCCCGCTCCTAGTCATTTGCAAGGGCAGCATGCTGGATGCCCACTTGGGGCATGTCGTACAGAGAACTCCTCTTCAGGTGGAGGTCTCAGAGCCCAGAGGCCTGCGAGGTCCTAGATGGCCAAGTGGGCTGGGACCTTCAGGAGCAGGGAGCACCACCAGAATTTTTCTATTGGTCATCCAGGAGGAACTCAGAACTCCCTGGGCTGAGCCCACCCTGGCATCTGCCATGAACTGGCTGACTCCATCACGCTCTGGGGGCCCTTCACCAAACTCTTTCCCCCACCAATTGTTGCTAAGCCAATTTTGCTAGTGGAGGCCTGTAGTAGAAATAATCACCACCCATTGATGAGGTACCCCCCAGCTCTAAGAGTCCATGACCCTGGGGAGCCCTCGGCCCAGCTGCCTCATTCTGCAGAAAGCAACGATTGGATTTTGTGAGCACCTTGGAGTAGCTCCCTCCTTCTGATGATGTTGGGAAGCTGCTGAGGCTCCAGGAAGCTAAAGGACTTGTCCAGTCTCATGGCTGTTAAGGGGCAGGGCTGGAGCCCACCCTCAGATGTTCTAAACTCAAGCCCAGTGTCCCTTCCAGGATGCTGCCTTGGCTTCCCCAGAAATGACAGGTGAGGAAACTGAGGTTCAGACCCAAGCCCCACCTATGAAGCCCGGCCAGCGAGGGAGAACACAGACAGCCTCACCTTTCCCTGAGAGTCGGCTGATTGAGCACAGGGCTGGGAGAGCGCTTCTGCATCGATGATGGTGCTGAGTGGACCAGGAGAGCCCTGTCCAGATGGCATGGCCTAGACTGCCTTGGGGCAAGGTATTCTTCACATCTGTCAAGAGAGTCTTCCTGATCTCTCATGTGAGACGGCCTAGTAATCTGTTAAAAAACACATTGAAGAGCATTTCAGAACCCAATGCCCCATCTACAAAGGTGCCCCCAACAGCCAATCCATTTGGATGGCTCCTTCAGCCCACAGTCATTCACACAGCACAACTAGGAGCTATCCAAGGTCACACAGGAAGAACAAAAGTGGAAAGTCTTCCCTTAAGGACCCAACAGCTGGTCAGACAGACTGCCCACAGGGAAAGGTCCCAGAGGCACAGAACCCTGGAGCTCACCCAGAGAGAACCAAGACCTGCTCCCACACCGAAGCTTCCGAGCAATCGGAGCTCGTCTGTGGGAGAGAAAGCGAGTGCCCCCATCACTAGAGGCAGGGATGATGTCTGAGATTCATTCTGACTCCAAGATTCTATGATTCCCTGGAGCAGCCTAGATTCCTAGACATCCTACAGTGACGGGGCTGCTTCCATCTTCAAACCCATGATCCAAACTTCACTGAGGCTGAGACCTCTATGAATGGGGAGCCCTCCACCTTCATCTGAGAAAGGCCCCACGTGGGCACGTCCCGGCTCCAAGGCCTGCTGCTCTCCAGGGGAGGCCGACGATGGGCTGATTGGCCAAGGGCTCGCGCCTGGCGGCCAGCTCGCAGCCGGAGGGAGCCGGTCAACACCAAATGGTCAACAGCCAAGGACACCAAAGTCAACGTGAGCCAATGAGCACAACCAAAGGCGTGAGTGACCAAGCTTGAAAAGCGTCAAAGCAGGGCAGCAGGGCCGGCAGCGCATGGTCCTGCTCGGAGGGTCGGTGCAGCAAAAGCTGGACTGAGAGGAGAGGCGGACTTCAGGCCTGGCCCTGACACTGGCCAGCTGTGACGCCAGGGTGAGCCATGTTTAACTTGCCAGTCTTCTCCTCTGTGAAACAGGAATACTACAACCTGCCCTTCCATGAAGGGCAGCACGTGTGACAGCGCTAGAGGAAGGGGAGCTCTGATTCACATGAGGCCCAATCGGGTGGCCTTTGCCAAGGCCCAAAGACAGACACCAATGACAGGCACCCTGCTCCTGACTTCTTTTTGACTCTGAATTACATCTGTCATAACGCAACAGGGCTGGGCCCTGGCGGTGCCCTTTGTAGTGTGCAGCCTGAGAGGCAGCTCCTCCCTTCTGCCCATCACTCCAAGCAAGGTGTCAGAAGTCTGGAAGCCAAGCCTCATTCTGTTGTGAGAAGGGATGCTTCTGGAGGAGCCTTTCCCTGGGGCCTTGTGCCCATCTAAAGGCTGAGGAGCTGGGTTTTCTAGAGCTTCTCGGCCATATGGGACAGGTGCTATGGTTTCATGCCCACAGACACTGCCTAGGTGGGTACCCAAGTCGGCCAGGACCCGGGTACCGGCATGGTCTTGCTTAAGCATCCTGGCAAGTGTGATGTAGTAGAAGAGAGTCAGCCTCTGACTGCAAAATGGTGGGCTGAACTTGAGCGACTGCTAAGCTCTAAATTCTAGGACCTCACCTCCAACAGCAGCTACCAAGGCAGAGCCTGCCCTCAGCCCTGGGAGAGGAAGTCCTCTGCCACTGCTCTTATCTAACGCCTCCCTCTTAGGTCTTCTGCCCACTGGACACCTTGCTTTTGTATGTGACATTAGCCAAATTAAAAATAATGACTCCTGAGAAACCACCTAAGGGGGTTTGGAAAGGTATCCTGGCAGGAGCCTTGAATAGTGAATGATAGCCTGATTCTGTGCTCTGCTCCTGATCCACTGCTGAGCCTGAGCCAACGGAGCGGGGCACCCTGTCTTTATGCACCCAGTACTGAGCAGCGGCCTTTCACAAACATCAATGGAAGCCAGAATTAACGGAGATCTGCAGAACTGAAAGTGGGGAGAGGAAGGCAGGGCAGAAAGGCGAGGAGGGCACTATTTGAATTCTGTCCACAGAAGGTAACTGTAGCAGGGGAGTGAGGGACCATGTACGTTGGCATGAAAAGAGCCGGTCAGCTTCAACCTGGGAGATAGACCTGGAAGCGACGTGGGGAAGTGGCCATGAGACACAAGAGCTTTGGTCACTCTCCCAATGAGCTCTGCTTGAGGAGGCCTGAAAGGGCCCCTGTTCAGGAAGAGGCTGTCTTAGCCGACCTCTTAGGGGCCGCTTTAGCCAGCTGTCGTCTTGGATTCCCCTTCCCACCCACGAGAAGTTAGCAGAGGCAAGCAAAGAAGATCTTACTATGTTTCTCCCTCCTGGGCACAGAGATACCACATTTACCCCTTAAATTGCCTTTCAAAAGAAAAGAATTGGGACAATCCAGAATTAATAAAAGACCTGTGCCAGTTTAGGGAAGGAATGGAAGCAACTGACTTACACCAGACCAGAGGACAGAAAGGAGGTACCATCCGTCTCACCCCAGCCCGCCCCCCACCAGGCTCTTTGTGACCCCGACTCCCTACACGCCATCAGTCCCCCCCGTGGTTCAAGATGTTCTCCTGCCAGAGTCTCCTGTCTGGGTCTCCTCTCCTCCACTCCCACTCACCTGGCTCAAGGACCCCTCCTAGCCAAGGCCCTTATGGATCCCCCCAGTTGGGAGAGCCTTCCCCAGCTCAGAAATTACTTTGAATTTACTTTAGATCAATTTCCTGTTGATTTATCTGCAAACATCTTGTTTCCTCCCAAGCAGAATGTAAGGACCTTGAAGGCAGGGCCAGTTCCATTCTTATTTCATCTGGGTGCCTTGCACATAGCAGGCATTTAGTAACTCCTCTCCTAAATTCCTTTTCTGCCTTCAGTCTTTCCCCTCTCACAGAGCTAAGTGGAATCTCACTGTGAAGCTAACAGGTCTGAGGATGGTGCTCCCTGCTCGAATCACTGCACACACCTGCTAAGACCTCTAAGAAAAAGACAAAGCACTAGTCCCAGATTTGGATTCCTTTTACAACAATCCAAATAAAAATGTTTGGCACTGGCCCCAGTCTAACTCCGTGGTCCTTCCTTTCACACACACTACCCTCCAGCAGACGGACTTTCCTCCTATTCCAGATACCCATGAGTTCTGTCCCCAGGCCTCTGCACTGGCTGTCCCCCCTGCCTGGATGCTTCCCCCTCTTAGCCCTGGCTCTGACAATCCCAGTACCATATTCCCCATGAGGCCTTTCCCACACCCTTGGCTGCCAGGGTCTCCTACTCTTGAAATGACGTTCCGTGTGCTCTGCGTACGTTTTGTGTCCACTTATACACACCCACGTCAGCTCCTCCACTTACAAACAGAAGCTCTAGGAGAGCAGGGCTTCGTTTTGAGTCCAGGGCCTGGCCCATGATAGGCCCTTCATAGATGTCTGCTGACCAACTGAGGAGATAATTCTTCCAGTTTCATTTGCAGGCTCTTCCTAAGGCCCACTGGGTGTTTACAATGACACAGCCCCAGAGCTGGAAAGGGGCAGGAGGCCAGTGAGTCCAACCCATGCCCACAGGGCTCTTTTCCACACTTACAAATGCCCTTCCTATGCGTCTTTTCTCCTGCATGCCAACCACCCCACCTACTTCAGCCCAGCCCCACTCAGCAGACATCTCCAAGCCCTTCACTCCAGGCTACCTTCCTCCAAACAATTTCCAGCCCATCCTGTTTGTGGGGCCCAGAATGAAATTCCACATTCCAGGTATAGCTAAGACTTACAGACAGGCAGGGAAAGAAAAGAAGGCTCAAAGGAAGGGGAGGAGAGCAGGGTGAGGGCCGGAGGGGCAAACACATGCTCCAAATTGCAGATAAACAAATAAGCGCAGACTGGACTGAGAAGTCAGTCTGGTGGCTGGGCACCTGCATCTTCATCCCAGGAGCTTCAATAACCACCAGATGCATTTTTCATATCCTCATTTATGCTGAAGCCACCTGTTTCTGTCATTTCTTACTCCCCTGCCCTATGCCAGACAGGAAGCAGACTGCCATCTCCTTTTCTGCATCCACTAAAAGGCCTAACCCTGGAGACAGTAGAGTGCAGGGGAGTGAGCCAGAGGACTCGACTTCATAGGACCATAACCCAGTTGAGTTCACAGGGACCTTAGAGGTGAAGTCCAAATGCCTTCTTTTCCAGAATAGAAAACAGGCCCATAAAGGTGGGGACCTGCTCAAGGTGACAGATCTGAATCTAAATCCCTCAGTGTGGAGTAGCTTTGCTCTGGCTGTGCTCTGACATCTGCAACCAAGAACCTGGATAAGCAGATGCATCTTAAGGCTAGGACCAACCATCAGATTTGACAGAAAAGGAAACTTTGGTTTTCCCAGAGAAGGAAGGTGAGATTTGTCCAAGTTCACACAGGCATTAGCACAAAGATTGGAGGCCAGGTCCTCAGCATCACACTGCAGATGATGGATTTAATAAATGTTTGCTGAATGCTGGCTTCAAAGGCGTTTGGCCCAAGAAGACAGAACTAGACCCAATGGAAAGTGAAGGGGAGGGAAGAGGGGATATAGAAGAGACAGATTTAGGCCTGTTGTCAGCAAAGATTTCCTGACAATGAGCATTATCCCAAAGTTCAGCTGAGTAGCCTTGGAAGGCAGTGGGCTCCTCATCCTTGTAGGTGACGTCCTTGTAGCCTTCTCCAGGCTGAGGCTAGAGGACCCGACAAGCCAGGCTGTGAATTCTCTCCCAATATCCCTGAATGACTTTTGTTAGGAAATAGTGCTTAAAGGTCTTAGGAATGTGATTAATTAATTGATAGCTATACTAACCTAGAGAGTACAAATAATGGTTTTCTCCAATAACTTTTTTTTCTTTTTAGAAATCAATTTTAATTAAAATGTCCAAGATAAAGAGTCTCTGCACCATGAACACTTTTCAAGTTGGTGACCTGCATGTACAGGAGCTCTCCAAGGAGACCCCAACAGATCTAAATTGGTGGAAGAGCTGACATTTGCTAGCTTCAAGGCCCAGACACCATCAGAAGCCAGCACGAGTCTGGGTCTCGTCTCGTCTCGTGCCCAGGTGGCTCCTGTTGCTTTGATCGTGTTTCTGTCCCCTCCCAGTCTTCTCACAGATTCATTAATGGGAAGGGCAG